TATTCAGCGATAAGGATAAATCAAACTGTTAGAAAGCCGTGAGATTATAAACTAATAATTCGCTGTTTTCCCCAAAGTGCCCGCGGTTCACGCGCTAAATCCTTGTAAGCACAGGCTATGTTCTAGTCGACCTTCCCATATTATAAGCTATCAGCGTTGAGCTGTAGACCTTGTCACGGTTTTCATCGCCATCTTGACGAGTAGGCAAACGTGTAAGAAATTAAAGTGTTTGTATGGGAATCTAATGTTGAATAATTTCCGTAGAACGGCTGTTCTGAAAAAATGTAAATTGTAAACTAAAGCTACAAAGCAAAGGATTGTACTAAAAAATTTGGGGGGCCTACCTGTGCTTAAGTTTCTTCAGACGCTTGCTTTAGATATTCCATATACTTTGTCTGTAATTTTTCTCGGGACTTTCTTACCGGTCATGTTGAAACGCAGACCATGCAGACTGCAGACTGCAGACTGTGCAAACCGTGCAGACCGTGCAGATTGTGCAGACTGAGTGTTATTTTTTTAACTTGTACCTTAATTTTCTTGTAAAATTTTGACTATAGATTCCCGCAGGAGCGAGGACGATGGAGGAAGGTAAGCTGTTTCTTTCTGTATCTGTGTTATATTGCCACGATTATTTCATTTTTTTTGGTAGAATAAGCTTTTTCAGGTTAGGTGGCTTAAAATAAAACCCTTTTCGGCCTCCTTCGGCTACGAGAGACATTTCCTCAATTTCCTTCATTGTTGATGATCGTCTTTGCTTTCACTCTGTAATTCAAACCGGTGACTTGCTGTCATTTCTTCAAATCTTACAGATACCAATGTCATCGTTGTTAACGTATAACTCGGAAGATTCGGGTAAGACTTTCGTATATGTTTTTTTTTTCTTTTTTTCGATTCCCAAGAGTGTCCTTCTGGGCGGGTTTTCACTCGGGGATCGACAATTGTATTTTCTCCATGCATTCACACCAATAAGTGGTAGTGGTTTGAAACAGACAATCTTGATCGAGTATCATGGTTCTTCGTTTATGCAGCTCCAAAACTAAATAGTTCATTAGTAACAAATAAAATAACACTCAGTCTGCACAGTCTGCAGTCTGCAGTCTGCAGTCTGCATGGTCTGCGTTTCAACACGACCGCTTTCTTACAGAAAAATGTACAGAAAATTTAAAAACGTGGTTTTAGGTCTTCTAGCGCATGGAACAACCTCAATTTTTTTCAGTAGAATCCTTAGGGGTGAAGCTTTAGTCTACAATTCATATTTTCTTCAGAACAACCATTTTACGGCAATTATTTGATGTTAGATTCTCATACAAACACTGTAATTTCTCAAGCGTTTGCCAGTATTCGTCAAGATGGCGTCGAAAACCATGACAAGGACAAGGTCTATTCTCGATCTATGATACAACAAAATGTTAATCTATACTTACTTTAAATGATATGTCGTCCTCCGACGGGATCCAAACAGTTCATGAATATTGACAAAGTATACGTAAATAAAACAGCCTGAACAAAGAAATATTAACAGGCAAGAAATGCGCCTGAGAAAACTGCAGTGAAAATTTCCCATGCTTGATGTAAATTCCTAGACTCGCGCATTTGTTGGCAACTCTAGTCGTCAGTGGCGGCCGCGTGACACACAAAGGGTGATGACAAATGACAAAGAGTATTAAAAAATTCGCTGTCACTACCGTATTTATTCGAATAAGCGCCCAACCTCGAATTAGCGCCCACCTCGAATAAGCGCCCATCCTAAAAGCAGAAAAAGTTAATAAGCGCCCAGCCTCGAATAAGCGCCCACCCCACCCAACCTCCCTCCCACTCCCACTTAAACTCAAATAAGTGACCAACCTCACCCCACCCCCAAAAAATTGAATAAGTACCGAATAAGAGACTTCCCCGAAGACGGAGTTTTCTTCAAAGTATTTTACAGGAACCTTGCCTTGTTACATCTTCGAGTTTTGTCATTACCATTTATTGTTTTGTTGCAAAATAAACATACTACACTTGCTGAAAATACTGAAAATTTAATAAGCGCCCAGCCTCGAATAAGCGCTCACCTCGAATAAGCGCCCACTCTCAAGGTCCAAAAATTTAATAAGCGCCCAGGGCGGTTAATCGAATAAATACGGTATATGGCCGGTCAAGGTTTTTAAAACACTAAATGACCGGCAGTCCTATATTCTCAATAAATTTGACAAATCGAAAAAATCCATCTAATCTAAGCTACCACATGTCGCTTAAGAAAAGTCAAGCGATCCTGAAACACTTTATAGATCTCAAGTTTAGCGTTTGATTTACGCTGTGCTTAGAAAACGAAACCATGTTTTGTGACACTTGAACGTTTTTCAGGTCGACTGCCGGTCAAGCAGGTCAAGATGGTCGAGACACTAAATAACCGGCAGTCTACCCTGCTAGAGTCCTGTTAGTAGAGTCGCTTCGATCCGTTCCTAGATAAGTCGGAAAAAAGGAAGGAGGAAAGGTCGACTGCCAGTCAAGGTTTTTAAAACACTAAATGACCGGTACATTCTCAATAAATTTGATGAATCCAAAAAATCCATTTAATCTAAACTATCAAATGTCGATTAAGAAAAGTCAAGCGATCCTGAAACGCTTTATAGATCTCAAGTTTAGCGTTTGGTTTACGCTGTGCTTAGAAAACGAAACCATGTTTCGTGACACTTACCCGCTCTAACTTTTTTCAGCTTCCTCTTTCCTCTTTCCCGACTTGTCTAGGAAAGATCGAAGCGACTCTACTAGCAGGACTCTAGCAGGGTAGACTGCCAGTAATTTAGTGTTTTGACAAACTTGACCGGCAGTCGACCTGAAAAAAGTTCTAAGTGTCACAAAACATGGTTTCGTTTTGTGAGCACAGCGTCAGGGGCACCCAACGGGAAATTTTGAGAAAAAACCTGAAAACAACAACAACGCTCTACTAAAACTTTCTGATACCATGTTAAGCAATTTGGGATATTGCTAGTAAAAATCCATCCGTTCCTTACTCCCAGCAAGACTGATGGAAGAGTTCCCAGCCAGCAAGGTGCACCTACAACCTGCAACCAGACTTCCTGGGAAGTTTTCCAGCAGACGTTTGTCGAGACATTACTAGACATTTTATGGCCAGTTTGGGTGTGGTCATAGGGCAAATTCTGTGCTGACTTATTCCCTGCTCACAGATGTCCTTCCGTTATAAAGTTTCAAATAAGACTAGAATGCGCTAGCGTGAATCGATCAAACGTTCTTTTAATTTCTAAGGCTTTTACTTTCCGCAAATAAAATGAACTGAATGTAAAAAGGGAAAGAGAAAGCGAAAAATTCAACTTCTAATTAAATTTTTTCTTATGGTTTAGATTAAACTATTCTCGAAACTGAGAATGTTTTGATCAAAGCTGTGTAAATCGAGCTGAAACTGTGCATGGAACCTTGCGTTTCCTGTATTTATCTCACCTATTGTATGGAATATGTGTGAAAATCTTCATTATGAGTTTATATACGATACTATTGACTGACAATATACAAAACGGGGGCAGCTGTAGTGTCAACTATTACTAGTTCAAATTAATTAAGAATATAGGATTGCCGGTCATTTAGTGTTTTAAAAACCTTGACTGGCAGTCGACCTGAAAAAAGTTGCAAGTGTCACAAAACATGGTTTCGTTTTCTGAGCCCAGCGTAAATCAAACGCTAAACTTAAGATCAGGATCGCTTGACTTTTCTTAATCGATATATGATAGTTTGGATACGGTTGGGATAGCCACAGCGTAAAAAATTGTGAGACAGATTTTCCTCTCGGCATTCCCTCCTCATTGCCTACGAAATGTGGTTAACTGTAAACGGTGGAAAGACCAAAAATTTCAACAGTCTGAATGCTAAGAAGGCTGGTATGGCCAGCCGAAATATTGTTATAAAAAACAATACACGTTGTTTTAAATCAGCTTTGCTGTAGTCTTCGGACTTCTCGTTCTTGTTTCTTTATATTTTGGCTGATTTGATCTCTTTTCTAGAGATCCAACGTTTACAACCAGCAGGATCTTCGTCCACGGTTTTTGCAGTTAATTTAATCCTTAATTTTTTTTTAGCTGTCAACCGACAAGGAAAAGATAATGTTTAGTCGTCAAGCGGCGCCCAGAGGGGCCAGGGGTCTGCATGCTTGCTAAAGTAGTTACTGAAGTAGTGTTAGTTCCCTTGTAACTGTGGCTCATGTTATGTGAAAGAATGGAAAGAAGGGCGGGGTGAGGGGGGTAAAAGCCTTAGCTTTGTTGACCTCACTCATCTCTCTACACAGTACCTACACCTCCAAGTCTTATCAAACCGTAAGCACGGTTTATTTCATATTAGGTATTTTGAAAACAAACCTCTGGAGCTAGGGTATCCCAAAACAGACTTGAACCTCTTCCCAGAGAGTGAAAAGCCTGGAAAGCTCTGGAACGAGGTTACTACATTCTCGTCCCCAGAGCCCGTCGTTTCTTGGTCACGTGCAGAACGATAATCAAAATCGAAACTAAAATGGCGGAAGGTCGTTTCCTCTCGCATCTTCTCCAAACATCGCAAGAGTTACTGGCTTTGGGGACAAATCACGCAAACATTCTTTCAACAAAGTATCGTGAATTTGTTCTACATAATCCGGATACTGCTTCCAAGGTCGAATCTATTTTACGTGCGTTATCGTACATACTTCCCGGTAGATTTGGTGCTTCGGAAGCTCTCGCCGAACTCGTGTTTTCTTCATCGCAACTTCTGACACTTTTAAACGATGGCATTTTGCGTGATAGGAAAGATTTTAGTCAAGGTGGGAGTCAGAGTTCCCCAAAACACCGCGTTTCGCTTTGGTTAACTGTGGTTGAATATTTGGAAGTTTTTATCGAGCTCGGCGCCTTTCGTTTGTGGGGTGAAATTGGCAAGTGGATTGTGGTGCTTGTGTTGCAGATAACAAAAGCCGCACTGAGATTTGTGTTGCTATTCAAGTATAACTCAGGAGTCCAACGTACGCCACACATTCCTCCCCTTGATCGATCAAAGCTGGTGACGCATGAAGATGAAACTGATAGGGAAAATGGTGAAGAAGAAGAGGCAGGAACTTCAGCTGGGCGACAACATGAAGACACTGCTGTTTCACCAGGACCACTCTGGAGGGGAGCTAGATCAGGAAGACTCATGAGGTCCCTCAATGCAACACCAACTGGTGGCTCACGGACTTGGACACTGCCAAAGGAATCCTCCACAAAGAAAAGAGCAACTCAACCAACTCATCTCTCTTCCAAAAGACTCTTTGCAGAGAGCCTGTACATCTCTAGACCTCTCGTTCATATCGCCAGTATGTTTTTATGTGGACAGTTGTCATGGAAACCATGGTTGATATCTTGCGGTGTGGATGTTACATCATTAGCTCTTATGGGTGACTTGAGTGACTTAAATGATGAAGAAAAATCAGAATTATCAAGAAGGACATTGCTTCTGCTCTTTTATTTCTTGAGGTCCCCATTTTATGATAACTACTCAAAGGTGAGGATTCTTGGTTTTCTGAAGTTTATGAGTGACACTATCCCTGGAGTATCTTTAGTAGTGGCTCCTCTATTAGACTATCTTCCAACTTGGCAGAAGATTTATTTCTACAATTGGACTTCCTGAAGATTTTTGAAGGTTAGTTAAGGATGGTTACCTACTGAGAATTCAACAATAATGGTAAGGGTAGGTGGAGAAAGGCAACAAGGGGCTCTTGATCTCAAATGAAATTCTCTCTGTGTGTGTCAGAGGTAACCCCAAAACCATTTTTTTGGACAATCAAGCTGCAGCTGAAACTCTCCTTGCAACCACAAATGTAAGCCACCAGCTTTAGTTACGACCACCATGTGAAATGCTGTTTGAACTGTGACTAAAACTTTGTAATGAAAAGCTTCCATAAGCAACTTTTGGGATCACCCAACTGGACTTTTCCTTTGTTTTTAAGCTCTCCTAAGTGACCACTCAGAGTCCTATTCAAATAAATCAACACTTAACTGACACTGCACACTGCTCTACTGGTTTGTTGATAAAGATCTTGGGGTCTATTTTGCTCTAAAAACTGGACATAAAGTTTAGCCATGTCCATATCAGATTTTAAGACACTCATTTAACATTAATTTCTTTTGTTTTCTCTTTATGAGAACTTTACTAATGAGTTTGTGAAGCTTTCGTAAGCGACTGCCCTCTATTTTCTTGCCATGCAGTTGCTTACGAGAGCTCATTCTTATAAGCAACCATCTCAGACTAAGTTATGACCACTTTTTTGAATTTCCAAGGTGGTCGCTTATGAGAGCTTCGACTTTATTATTAGTAGTCATTTTCATTGTGAGAGTTAGGGGTAGGGTTTATTAGAGAGGGGGGGGGCATAATGTTGAATATTTCAAAGGCAAGGAAGCTTAACCCTCCAAATCTTCCACTTAGCTTTTCTCTTAACAATACAACTGTAATTCAACATACATGATCATTAGAAAAGTTAGGAAAATTAATAAATGATCACCAAGGGAAAAATAGTGTGATCTTTTATTAAATTATCTCAACTAATTTTTTAAAGAAATGTGTGGTGGTAGGCGAGGATACTTTTTATTAAATATTGGCACTTAAAGGCTTAAAAGCCCACTTTTTGATACATTAAAATTCTAACATGGCTCTGAGTCTTTACGGACAAAGTTGTAAATTTTTCATGACTCTGTTGTCTTGCAATTCCAAGAAGAGACTTGAGCGCAAAGAAAACCAAACCAAATAACTTATAGATAAATGGCCAGAAAGCCTCGGAGTCATGTGAGAGAGATTGTGGTACTTGAAAATTGCATTTTACTTGCCTGTTAATGTCATATGTAAATCTTGAAGTCTCTGACAATTTTTCCAGCTGCATTGTAAGTCAAACCTCCAAGTTGCAACCATTTTGGTGACCATGGTGCCTAAAATTTTGCAGCTGGCGATTTGATTTGAAAAGAAGTCTTCCTAAACTAAAAGAGTCGGTTGTCAAGTGGCAACAGAGCCAAAACTTTAGCTTGGAGGGTCGTAAGTGTTGGTTTCTCCAGCCACCCACATGAGAATAACTTAGAAAGATGTCATGTGCAAATGTTCCTGTTGAACAAGAAAGCTTAGAAAGCAGCTGACATTTTGCAACGCTACCGCTGGTTTTCCCACAAAATGACATCTGAGAAATGAGCGCAGAAATTCCATTTTGATAACGTGTCACTACCCAGATCTGGGAAGTGCCTCTGATTGGACAAAGCAAATTTTCATCTGATCAGAATCACTATCCAGATCTGGGTAGGATCAGCAAATGTTGGCTGTTTTCTCAGGCTAATATGAATCTTAACTTCCAATACAAGGTTAAATGTAAAGGGGTAGGAAAAGACAGAATAGCATAGCAGGGTTTTCATGAAGAATTCTAGTAAGGAGAGAAAGGTGTAGCATTACAGGAGAATACTTTGAAAGAGGCTCCACATCTGAATAAAAATAATCATTAGCTACCAAACATAAGCTAGAGAATTCTGCATAGTAAACAGAATTCTTCAATCTCCGATATCTAATGAACACCCTGGCATAGTTAACACACTCTACTGATCAATTTTCATTGAAACAGGCATTTAAGAAATAGAAAAAAATTTCTTACTGTCGCTAAGAATTATGATTTCTAACATTTTAACAACATTTCTGTAGTCTTTAAGAGCATAGATGGTGGGAAATTGTTGTATGTTTGTTTTTCATCTTCCATTTCCCGCAAAATTTTCTTGGAAGGAAAACAAACTGCACCATCATGTCATTTCCATGGTCTCTTCTCTCATAGACTGTAGACTGTAATACTCTTGTCTCATGTTGTAAAAAAGAAAAAAAAATACTCATATGTGATAACCCTTTGTACTTAAGGTGTTGCTCTAGTAGCTGACAGGGGGGAACACTGGTGGTGGGATGGGGTCCCCTGATGCCTTATTTTGTTCTTGGGTGACTATGATCTCTCAGTTTTTGTAAGGACATCAAATACTGGGTACCCTTCTCTGGTTTAGAACATTTGGCTGTAGAATTTTTAATAGAGGACATCCTTGGACTACTGAAAAAAATGTATGGCTCTGGTAAGGGTCTGTTTTCAGACTGTTGCATCAGCTATGTGGTACTAGTCCAGGGATATGAACAACACTCAAGTAATTCTATTGTTGAGTCCAAGTGATTTACATTTGATTGACTCTGTCTGTCAGCAGAGTCTTTCTTTTGTTGGCTTGATTTTGGTGTGCTTGAGAAAGGCTCTGCATGAATCGAGTAAGATTCAGCATGTTGCTAGGATATAGTTTCAAACCCAGGCCTAACAGCCAGTTGCATTTGCTACAGCAGGCTCAGTTATGACCATCAGTTTATTATCAGTAAACGGATGTTCGGACTCGAAAAGATGACAGAACGCAAGATTTAGAAAAAAAAAGATTTCTAGTCCAGGACCCAGTTGTTCGAAGGCCAATAAAATTAGTGCTAACCCAGG